TTTTTAGTAAATTTCTAACTGCATCTGGCAGTGGCGCATCCTGGCATGTGTAGGCAGCTGCCTAGGACCGCTTTCTTCTCCTCTTTATACTTAATTTTAGGCGGCTTCTATAGCGCGATCTTAATGACAATGTCGAGAGCGCATAATGTGACGTGATCCATGTAGGCCTAATGCGCGAGCACGAATCTCCACTCGCAAGCAGATTTCCTTCACTCACACTAAACTGGACATGTGCTTTTAAATAAGCATTGTTCTTTTATGAATTGGCTCTGCTCTCACACAGATATTACATGTACGCTCAAACGTTGTCCTCGCATCACTGAAGACCAGAGGAGCTTTATTTTTCTAATTCAGGTGAAGAGTAGGCTTTTCTCACTAAATGGAAGCAAGCTGAATATAGTCAGCCCTTTTAAGTTATTTATTTTATTAATACTTATTTTAGTTAAGTGCTTAAATTGTAAATATGCATTTATTAAATTATTTTATTTAGTGCATTTGTATTTTGTTGTTTTACAACAAAAGTGTATCAACGAGGTTCCAGAAATAATCACTGAGGGTGCTTCTGAAATTAGTGAAGGTGCTCTAGTCTTAATGCACATTTTTCACATATTTTGTCCCGTCTATTGCTATGGTTATCACCATGTCAAACACTGCTACTTCGAGAGCGAATCCCGCATAAATATGCAGATGTCATTCCCGAAACTTTGCAACGTGTGTGTGTGGCCAAAAAACGTTCTACATTTTAAATTGATTGCCTAGAAAGCTCGCAAAGAGCGCTCATAACCACTAAAGAGCTGTCACTCTTTGTTCATCGCTATCTCACAAAGTTCTGTTACCAATTAATCTCACACTGCGCAATTAATATATTATTAACATCGTGTATACACCCTCCTTTGAGGTAGTGACCCAGACTGCCCCCCCCCATTTAAAATGCTCTAGACACGCCCCTGCCAATGACCATTTTTTATACTAAGAAGCAAGCATATACGTTTAAACGGTGGCTTTTCATCAACAGACCCCAGGGAGCCTAGACAAATTTTCATTTCAAGCCACGACCTAACACGCCTGATTCAATTAATCAAGTGTTAATTGCTCCATGTAGCATAATTGAGTTGAACCAGGTGCGTATTTACTGTAGGTTTTGGATATAAAGCAATTTTCTCAATTGAGCCTCCAGGACTGGAAGAAAAGAAAATGTACTGGTCTAAATGATCTTATAGCAAACCTTGATCCTTGTTTGAGTAATAGAATGGAATTCCATCTGGAAAGTACAACAACAGATATACAGTGTTGTGAGACGCCACAGTTCTTTAAAGCACAGGCTATTGCGAAGAGTTTTAAATTCAGTGAAACCCCCCCAGAAAGTTTCACTTAATTTTCGCAGAGATATGAGAGTCCACTTGAAGCAAAAATATTTATTCTCAATACATTTTTATTTAAAGGCCCCATGAAATCCATGAATCCATGTCCATATCTATACGCCTCATTTTTTTTTGTCCAATCAAATGCTCTCTAGTAAGAAACTGTGCCCTCTTAGTAAATTATAAATGCAATTTCTCTCAAAGTCCACTGTTCATGACTGTGAAGTACTGTAACAGCCTATTGGCTATTTAAAAAAGGACGAGTCCTTTCAACTTCCATCAAATGCAGGAAAGAAATCTGCACTCTATAACCCATTTCATGGAGTCTTTAACTTTCTATTCAAGCTTTTACTATCTTCTCTGAAGGCTTACTAGTAGATTTGGCAGGAGTGTTGCAATGGCTGAAATGGAAGCAAATGGAAAAACAAACAGAAATGCGAAAGAAAGAGAGCAGAGAGATGGAACACTTACTTTTGAAAGGGGAGCCTGATGTCCAGTGGAACAAAACAAGATGGAAAACATGATGAGAACCATAAAAAGCAGTGAATATGAGAACAGGAATGAATAAAATGGAGGCCAATGCCAACTTGCCATTTTGGGGTTCATCTTATAAAGCGGTGAGAAAATCACCTTGCTGACTCACATTTGGCCAGAATATACTATGTGAATGGCTGGTTAAGTCCCAAAATGGCAAAACTGGGTGACCCAATTAGCTGTTGTGAAATGAGTGCAGGCGAGAGAGCGAATGTGGGGACTGTGAAAACATAGGGTGCTGAAGCAAAGATGAAACATGATAAGAAAAGTAAGATAAGAATTCATGTCAGCCTGTCTCTGACTTACATCAATGGAGCAATTCACTCCTGCCATGAGCTATTGTACATCTAAAAGAAGAATAAACAAGTCTTGTTTTGTGTTATTTTAGCTTTTTACCCATTTCTGTAAGATTCCCCCAAAGCTTCTGGGTATTCAAACGGAAATCAAGCTTATTGCCGTGCAACTCCTTTTTTTTTTTTTTTGTAATGTTATTACAAAGTGCTTTTGAATCAACTGAATTGGATCAATAAATTGGATTAATAAAGCGACAAGGAACTTTAAACTTTAGTCACTTAATCCCTGCGAGTGCAGAAGGAAATTGAATAATCAAACTAGAACTGTGTTTCTGCTCATCCCACATTTCTTGCAAACTGACTTTTATAATCTGCTTTCTAAGTGGAACATTCTGAGCCAACGGCTTTGTGTGACATGCAGTAATTAAACCAGTAGATTTGTAGGAATTTTGAAAACTACATTGCGAAGTCTAAATATGGATGATGTTTCATTAATGTGGAGAGCTCCACAATGCAGAGTTAATCAAACACTGCAAACCAACCTCAAATTTCACCTCACTTCACTTTTATATAGCATGGAAGCCTGTTTCCACCTGAGTGCCAAAAATTAGCTAAAAGTACTAAAAAAGTGACATATTAAGTTCCAATTATGAGTTATAAAAATTGCAATTTTGAATATATAATCGTAAACACAAGGTAATTAGTCCTAATTGTGAGATATAAAGTCACAATTGATATATTTATGATATACCTTTATAAAGTTGCAATTATGACAAACTCGCAATTGTAAGATTGAGATTTAATGCTACAATTATGAAAGCTAAGTCATAATTATGAGCTATAACATAGCAATTACTGGGGTATAAAGTTTAGAACATTGCAATTAAAACATTCATTAAAAAGTCTGAATTGTGAGATACAAGGCCACAATTATGCGTCAAAATTGTGAGCCTTAAAGCAAAAATTTAGATTTAATGTTACAATTATAAAAAACGAAAGTCACAATCAATTGTGAGCTATAAAGCTACAATTGATATTTAATGTTGCAATTATGATAAATAGTCGTAATTATGAGATTATAAATGTACAATTATAAAGAAATTCACATTTATAAGATATAAAATGGCAATTATATTAAAAATGTAGAAATAAGGTCATTATTATTTTAATTTAAGGCAGAAACAGGCTTACATTCATCGCACACCTAGTGTATATTAGAGCGAAAGCAATAAAACTAGTTCTACTTAAGCATGAGAAATACCATCTAGAATTATCTTCAAATGATACTGTTGTACAAATGCGAAAGTATCTATGCAAAATATTCCAGCTTCATGAAGATTAGATCTTATTATTGATATTACAATTGGTAACACTTTATTTCGATAGTCCACTTTAGACATTTTACTAACAGTAAGTAACTTTGCAACTACATGTCAACTAGCAGTCATTAGAGTATTAGTAGACTGTCTGCTTAATATCTTCTAACACTTTATTTTGATGGGTCAACAACATACAACATACTGACTATCAGAAACTTTGCAAGTATATGTCAACTTATTCTACTAACCCTAAACCTACCCTAACAGTCTACTCTGAGAGTTAGTAGACATGTAGTTGCAAATTAATTAGAATTTGTTGACATGTAGTTGACATGCAGTTACAAAGTTACTTATAGTTAGTAGAATGTCTAAAGTGGACTATCGAAATAAAGTGTAACCACAATTTCTGAGAGTCTAATCCTGATATGATCGTGGATATGAGGTTAAAGAGGGTTTCATTATCTACTCTACAGAAGAGTGCCCAATCAACACGGACAACACTTAACAGAGCACACAGCTCTCAGTAGACACGAGACACAGCTGTTGCCTGGCACATGCTGGCATCGGCAGAAGAGTCGTAAGGACGGGGAGGAGCGCCACATCACTGGGAAGCACTGCTGAGGTGAGAGGCTGCAGTGACACACGATGGCCTTCAGGAAATTGTTTAAACACACGGACACAGACTTAAATGAACACACATCCACATATAAATACAGAAGCACACGCAGAGGACAAGCAATGCATCTCCTGGGAGAGAGATCCAGCAGGGTCCAAGGCAGGGATGCATTGTGGGTAGTGAGGTCTGCTGCTGCACTGAGGAGGGGGGTTGATGCGTAAAGAGAGCACTATAGGGTCATATGATTAAGAGGGACTGAAAGAGAGAAGCACTTACGAACAGGTTGGGTTTTAAAGCTCTCAGGAGGGCTGCTTTCTCCTTCACCCTTGCCGTTGATGGCTGATATCTTGACCTCATATGTGGTCTCTGGCTTCAGCCCAACAATGGTGATCAAGTTGAGACCTGGTTTAGACAGATTTAGAGCTCCAATAAAATATCTGATGTAAAAACATGGAATTAGATGATAAAATATGTCTGGTTTTAACAAAGCATATCCAAAACCTTTCAAAAACTGATGGATATGACATGCATATACATGCATATAATCAAATTGCACATATTATCACAACACATGACCTTTGGAATTATAGATAACTGGTTTGCTTGAAACAATTTGTCTTAACAAACAGTTAAAAGAATCCAGGTTTTTTCTCTCCCACTTCCCTTTCTGTCACTTCTACACTGTCCTATACAAATAAAAATTGAAAAACACCAAAAATAAATCTTAAAAAAAAAAAAAAAGAATCCAGGTTTTAAGGGAAAATGTGCAGAATGTTTTTAGATATAGTGAGAAAAAAGGCATAAACGATTAGTACTGTGGGCACAGATTTTGTGTGAGCCTAGTCATCACTCAGATGTTTTCCCAGAAGACCCTGCAAAGAATTGTGAGTTTTATGTTTGTAGTAAAACACATTTTAGTTTGATCCAGAAACGATCCTCCAATTAGAGTCATCACTCAGAGGTTTTCCCAGAGGTCCCTATGTAGCATTTGTATTATACAACCATTAGTTTTTGTCATCTAATTTCATTGGACAAGAGTACTGATATGTCTTTGTGTTGTTCCAGATGCCCTACTTTGGGTTCGTTTGAAACAATTTTCTTTGGCAGAACAAAAGTAAACAAAATAACTGGCCACCTTTGTCTAAAATGTGAATTATTTTATATTAACTTACACTAGTATTCAAAAGTTTGGTGTTTCAAGTCTTTCATTCACACCAAGGGTGCATTTATTTGATAAACTAATTATGGTGATTTGGTGCTTAAGAAACATTTATTTTTATTATAAAAAATAACAGCTGAAAACAGTATATTTTTGTGGAAACAGTAATACATTTTTCAGTATTCTTTAACAAATATAAAGTTCAAAAGAATCTCTAAATCTTGTGTAACACAGAAATGTCTTTACTGTAACTTTTGATCAATTTAATGCATCCTTGCTGAATAAAATAATTAATTTCTTAAAATATATATATTTTGAAAACTTTTGCATGGTATATATACCGAACTGTTTAGAAAACAACAGCACTCTTTCTTGTGTGATATTGCTTCAGCAAAATACACTTTAGTTCAATATTCGTCACTATGTTTTCATTTAGGTTATAAATATGAAATGCTGTTTTCCATCATATCAAACCACCTTACAATTTAATTCCAAATGTTCTCAAATTTGTGCTGTTCGTGAATTTTTTTGTACTTGTTCAATCTGGTACCTTGTGTTCGAGTCTGCTGCATGACTATCATATGCCAATCTAATGCATTAGAGACTCACTGACAAAAGGTTGAGTGATCAAAAAGCCATTGGCTGAGCAGGGGTTTGTGTGTGTGTGTGTGTAGGTGGCTGGTAGACTGCTTCGTGAAAGGCTGCGTTTGAGTGTGTGTGAGGTTTGTTCTGACGCATGTCCCAAGGAGGTCTGGCAGAGCGAGCAGGCTGTCAGCAGTGAGCAAACTGACATCTCCCCACCACCCTGAGAGACAGACAGTACCCACAGACAAACAGAGCACATGTCAGGCTGTGACAACTGCTCGGAACACTCTTATTTAGCATTCAAGTGAACCCTGTCCCTTTCCTACATTTGCGCATTCTATTTTTGGTCAACTCTGCATCGCATTTCATGCTTGCCAAGCAATATGGCCAATGAAAGAGTTTTTATGGCAGCGGGGAAGGTTATTTTGCCACAATTTGAAATGGCTAGCAGCTGTGGAAAGTGTTTAGTTGTTATATTGACTACGGGAGGGTGGCTCTATGTGCATCATAGACGCTGCTGTTTACTTCTTAAAGTGTAATATAGCATCTTAACTAGGCAAGAAGCAACAAAGTGACAAGCAATAAAAGCTCTTCCGTGTTAATAAAAATTTCTGTCTTAACCAGCTGCAACGGTGACAAGCAACACTACATGCTGTCAGTTGCACACAATGAAACCTCACTGCACCAAAATTCAGCTCCCTGTGTATGCTAAACCTCAAACATGGACAAACCGCAGAGAGACTGACTGTGGCATTTAAGAAACATCTGCTATCAAATGACAAAACTAAAGAAGCCCATTTCTGCCTGAGAGTGAAGTTAATTTGTAACTTTATCTCACAGTTGCGACTTTTTCTTGATTACAAATTTAATGTAATTGCAGCTTTATCATAACTGTGCCTTTATACCCTAAATGTCACCATATCCCAATATACTTGGCCATTGCAACTTTTTCTTGTAATATTTAGCAATGTGATTCTATATCTAGCAATTGCGAGTTTGTTGCTCATAACTGAAATGTGACTTTGTATTTTGCAAAGTTAATTTATTTCTCACAATTGCAACTTAGCTACTAATAATCATGAACTTATATCTCATAATGTGATTTTATATCTATTGTACCAATTGCGACTTTGTTACTCATAATTGTGACTTTGTATTTTGTGATGTGAATTTACAATATATCTCACAATTGCAACTTTGTTACTCATAACTGTAAATGTATATCTTATAATGTGACTTTATATCTACCAATTCCAACTTTGTTAGGCCTACTCATCATTGTGACTTTATATGCCATAATATGACTTTATATCTCACAATTGCGACTTTGTTACTCCTAATTTTGACTTTATATATCATAATGACTTTATATCTCACAAATGTGACTTTATTACTCATAATTGTAAATTTATATCTTATAATGTGACATTTCTACCAATTCCAACTTTGTTACTCATAATTATGACTTTATATGCCATAATATGAGTTTATATCTCACAATTGCAAATTTGTTACTCAAAATTGACTTTAGGTTAGGTTAGGTTAGGTACACTTTATTGTCCCCGAGGGAAATTTGTCTTAGGCTCAGAAATACAACCACCACATCACATACTAGTAGAGAATATAATATATATATATATATATATAAATATATACACATACATACATATACACATACATACATACATACATATACATCTCGCAAATGTTACTTTATTACTCATAATTGTGACTTTATATACCATAATATAACTTTACTTCTCGTAAATGTGACTTTATTACTCATAATTGTGATTTTATATGCCATAATATGACTTTACATCTCGCAATTGCGACTTTATTACTCATAATTATGATTTTATATACCATAATATGACTTTATATCTCGCAATTGCGACTTTGTTACTCATAATTGACTTTATATACCATAATATGATAATATATCTTGCAATTGCGACTTTGTTACTCATAATTGTGACTTTACATACCATAATATGATTTTACATCTCGCAAATGTTACTTTATTACTCATAATTGTGACTTTATATACCATAATATGACTTTACATCTTGCAATTGCGACTTTGTTACTAATAATTGACTTTATATACCATAATATGATAATATACCTCGCAAATGTGACTTTATTACTCATAATTGTGACTTTATATTAGAGGTCTACACGGAGGACCCGAGACCCAAGGACCCGGGATCCGTACGGGTTCGGGGCTATATTTTAAATGGTCAGCCAGGTCCGGGTCGGGTCCCAATCTATTACTTCGGGTCCCGGGTCTGTTTAACATTGTGTGTAATACCCAAGTCGATCGGACTCTGAGAACACCCGGCCGTTATCAGAGTCAGTCAGCGCTGTGCGTGTGTTGTTTTGTAACTTTCAACTTGTAAAATTAGGATGAGAAAATTTAGGATGAGAGTCGGTAATTTGAAATAAGGTGGAAAAAAAAACAAGAACACGAGCGACGTCATCAGAAGCAGGGTGGGCGGAGTTAATGCACACGCACGGTGATAATGGATACCTTCATGAGTGATGTGAGTTATTATTGATTCTTTTTTTAATAATATTATGAATGAACCGTCTTTTTGTTATATCTAAAATTTTTGCTCAGACTCGGCTCAGAGAGCACAGAGATGATAGCAAATAAGTAAAGCTAACGTCAGCAGCCATGGCACTGGACGAGCAATCGTTATTATAATCCAAATGGGCAAACAGTCTAAATTATTATGCAAGTTGACTCGAGATACAAAAAATGCAAAACTGCAAAGTCGCATTTGTCATCCGTCACCGTGACAGCAAGTGGACTTTTGAAACTGGAATAATGAGTGGATTACGCATTTAAATTGGCAAGAGAGGAATAACAGGGATGGAACTTTCTAGGCAAGGAGGATTGTGTGCATCACAGTCAGGTAACATTACAAGAGAGAAGGCTTCTTACATTAGGTAAGACAAAAAGTTTAATTTTCACAACTTGTTTATCGACTTGTTAATAGCAATTTGCTGTGGAATATGTGCCGATCGGGTCCAGTCGGGTCTGTATATTCCCGGCCTGGTTCGGGTCCAGCTTTCAAATAATTGACGTCCACGTCGGTTCCAGGTAGTACATTTTTGACATTTCTCGGTTCTGCACGGGCCCGGGTCCAACTTTCAAAATAATAGACGGGTCCGGGTCGGTTCAGTGTAGCACATTTACAGGTCTCTTCGGGTTCGGGTACGAATTTTTGGACCCGTGTAGACCTCTAGCCCTCACGCGGCGATGGGGGCGACCACGGCCTCTGAGGGCAGGACGATTGGGATGGGTGCGATGAAATGAAAGGTAGATCTCCAAGAACAGGAGCCCTATTCTGATGGGACTACATTACCTGGAGAAATTTGTGATTCACTGATGTATTTAGCAATTTCCAGGAATCTGGAAGTGGAGCATGTCCCAGGTTGGTCTTGAACCTGGGTCCCTTTGAGCAAAAACACTCATCATATGTTTAAAACAATGCAAACATCTGTGATGAAAGCCATTTTGCTGTCATACTTTATTGAAGCACACATGTAACAGACAATACATACTGAAACATCACATTTCCATTATTGCCCGCTATTTGTAAATGTTTATATTACCAATTTTGACATGAAGATGCAAGAAATCTTGTGGCTTTTTTTTTTAATCAAACAGGTGCAAAGCGAACAGTTTTCTGTCAGCGATTAAAAGGAATTGTACGGCTGTGCAAACTAGCTGCACAGAAATACACTGCGCTGTCCTCAGTATTTATGTTGGATATAAGAAGGAATGCATCTTTTGTAGCATCTCCTGTGATGTTAAATCGAGGTTTGAATTTTTCCTCTTCAGAATCTGTGCCATAATTGAGCATTCCAATAAGTTCTAAAGAACCGCCATTTCTTTTCTAAGTAAAGCTAACGTCAGCAGCCATGGCACTGGACGAGCAATCGTTATTATAATCCAAATGGGCAAACGGTCTAAATTATTATGCAAGTTGACTCGAGATACAAAAAATGCAAAACTGCAAAGTCGCATTTGTCATCCGTCACCGTGACAGCAAGTGGACTTTTGAAACTGGAATAATGAGTGGATTACGCATTTCAATTGGCAAGAGAGGAATAACACGGATGGAACTTTCTTGGCAAGGAGGATTGTGTGCATCACAGTCAGGTACAAGGGAGAAGGCTTCTTACATTAGGTAAGACAAAAAGTTTAATTTTCGCAACTTGTTTATCGACTTGTTAATAGCAATTTGCTGTGGAATATGTGCCGATCGGGTCCAGTCGGGTCTGTCTTCCCGGCCGGGTTCGGGTCCATCTTTCAAATAATTGATGGTCCGCGTCGGTTCCGGGTAGTACATTTTTGACACGAATTTTTGGACCCGTGTAGATCTCTACTTTATATATCATAATATAACTTTATATCTCATAAATACGACTTTGTTACTCATAATTGTGACTTTATATACCATAATATGACTTTATATCTCGCAACTGCGACTTTGTTACTCGTAATTGTGACTTTATATACAATAATATGATTTTATATCTCGCAATTGCGACTTTGTTACTCATAATTGCGACTTTATATACCATAATATGACTTTATATCTCGCAAATGCGACTTTATTACTCATAATTGTGACTTTACATACCATAATATGACTTTATATCTCGCAAATGTGACTTTATTACTCATAATTGTGACTTTATACCTCGGAATTGAGAATTTATATTGTGCAGTGTGACTTCATATGTGCCTATTTCTTATTTATAACTTTCTTTTTTTATTTTTTACACTGAGGCGGAAACAAGCTTCGATACAATTTCCTCAAGTTCCTCGAGGAAAACCATAAAAGGGCCATCTGGATTACACTACGCAGTGTGTTGCAAGTGCAAGAAAGTGTGCAATCACACACTGTTCTGATTGGCTGTGGTTTTATATTTTTGCTTTCAGCACAGACAGAAAAATTGCTTGTCGCTGGAATCTTGCCGTATCACGTCTGCTTTAGGACAGTGTTTTTAAAAACAGTTGCACTAAAACAATATAACTCAGTTAAAATCCTTTCAGTATAAAACAATACTATAAAAACAAGAGCTTGACCTTCACACAAATGAGGAAAAGCTTTTATAGCCTCCCAAAAGCCTCATTTATCTTGTTTTCTCTCTTCATTGCTTCCAGTTCTGAATAAATGTTATTACAGTGTGTGTGTGTGTTGGGTACTTACCATCCTCAACTTCATACTCTCTGTCATCATTGCTTCCAGTTCTGAATAAATGTTATTACAGTGTGTGTGTGTGTTGGGTACTTACCATCCTCAACTTCATACTCTCTGTCAGTCCAGTCTTGGCCTGCTATCCTCCATTCAGCCTTGTACTTGAGGATATGCACTCCTCCACTGGAGGCAGGCTCATCAAACTCCACCATTGCTGTGCTGGAATACGGCTCCACACGCTCGATAGAGGGGGCCGAAGGCACATCTAGAGAACACACACATGTATAAGCACACACAGGAAGATAACTGGCATACTGCTCCGCACACACATGCAGGGCACCACAAAAATGTGAGTGAGGCAATAGACAAACTGAAACAATTAAAAATTGTTATGGGCTTGGGGAATGGTTCACCAAGGGAACTGTTATTGCGGTGGCCAGTACAGTTTTTCCCTGAAGCATGAGTAAAATATCTTTCAGACAAACCAAGATATTGTTTAAAGTGGTCATATCATGAGGAATCAAATTTTCCTTGAACTTCTGAGATGAAAGAGTTTGATGTACTATGAAAACATACTGTAACTTTCAGAAAAAAGCAATCTCTAGGAACAAAGCTGGAAAAATGGCTTGTTCTAACCTTCTCCAACCTTCGGATATCAGACAGATACATCAATAGGAAAATTACGGTTTTCAAACAAGTTTCAAACGCTCCTCCAAACAGTCTGCAGTTCTGTTTGGTGCCACTAGAGGCACCAAAATTTCACATTCTCCTTTAAATAAGGGAAAGTTTGCCTAAACTTGAGCTGGCCCTGAGTGTATCTTCCATTTGTATATTCTCCCGAGGGACCCCAAAATTAGAAACACGAATCTGATATTTATTTGTGACCAGCTTCCTGATCATTTAAGTCCTTATTAAGATCTTAACGTTTCATTTCAGTGTGGATTGTTTCATAATCATGTTAGAATGTAATAAAGGCTTTGCAAAGAAGCTGTTTTCGAAGGATGAGTCATCTATAGACTGTATTGAATGCAAACAGCAAACCCACAGCACACGTCTTCTCATTTCCCATGCAAAACATGTGTTTTTATAGAAGTCTTAAAGGCACAGTAGCAAAAAATAAACCTTCTGTTCAATGCTACAAGTCAGAACTGTGATAAAAAATAGCTTTTTGTTACAAAAAGGTTTACAACAACATAATTCATCCTTTTGATGAATACATTTATATATATATATAAAATTACCTGCCTTCCCTCACAGAACACACTTACTCAGTAAAGCTCGCTTTTAAAGAAATGAGACTTTATTGTACAATAAAAAGTGTGGTGGCTCTAAAGCCTGTGAGGTAGAAAAGAGGCGTCACTCCTGCACCGCCTCATCGCATTGAGACTAAATAATCACCTCACTGCCTTCCACACCATTTCACATCTGCCCCACTTTACAGAGCACCAAAAATATCAGAGGCAGAGTCGCATTTAACCGTCGAATCTGCAGCCTGAAAATTATACCCTGCTGTTTTTATTACCCAAGAGTCTCAGCCTAAAAAATATGAGCGCAGGCTCTGATCTGGAGCTAAAACATCTCTGTCTGGGGGAGATTTACCTTTCGCATACCTGGTGGATTATGAATTGGTACCAAGGGGGATTTTAGAAGTGGTTTTTCTGTGTTAAAACACCATTTGTGAGAAAGGATGTGTGAATAGCTAATTAGAACCTTTGAATGACAATTTGTGCTTGATTCATGTTCACCATAAATGTAAAGTAGTTGCTATTTTTGTACATCATTCTCTAAACATTCACAAACCTGCTTGAACCAAAATGAATTCCTTTGACTCTGTGCCGATGACATTGGTAGCCGTACAGTTGTAACTGCCAAAGTCATTCTGGGACTCCGGAGTGACCTGTCAGAGAAAAAAAAAAGCCACGTCAAGGCTCCGCCTCTCTTCTGACCTAGCTAGCATGACATAGACATTAGCTGGTTAAGGGAAGCTCATTGCCATGGCAATGACAGTGACCTCCTATTCTGCACCACTGGCATTCACCTCGCTCAATAATTATTGAATGACAGAGAGAGTGAAAAAGAATGGAAGCGTACTGTCTCCATTAGCTCCAACAGCTTAGTAAAATGTGCCATGGGAACAGGGACAGTGACAGAGAACATTTCAAGCTTCACAGAACAGTCAAAAACAACCTCTCATGCAGTGTTGAACCGCATATTTAAAGCCCCCTCACTGAGAACCACGAGACGAAGCCCCGCCCACAAGTGGTGACATCATGTGCAAGAATATTGCTGATTTATGTCATTTAGAAAGTGTAAATCTGAGGGTCTAATGAGTCAACAACAGTTTAGTGTTGAAAATGCTTAAAATCTGTAAATATTTGATTTTGACAAAGGAACGCATTTCTAGAATGGGGTTCTGATCTAAAAAAGATTCCTACAATGTTATAAAAACACATTGTTGGGGAAATTTTATTATTATTTGCTTTACTCTACTAAAGAGTGTTCTTTAAACTCTCTGAATGCTTCATCGGTATGCTGGAGTTATTTTGATGTGCTAAAACAACAACAGGAAATGTATGAAATGTGTGTGTAGACAAGTAGCGCTATTTTAGAGACCCTACATCCTGGTTTCTAAGAAAATGATTTGCACTAAATACTTAGAAACGCATCTAGGGGACATAGTTGGATACCTTAGATAAACACATATGTTGAAGATGCATTAAGATTGGATGAGATAGAAGCATCCTGGTTTGATTAGGGTATAAATACTGAGTCAAGACATTTTTTTCTTGGTCGTACTCTGCAGCCAATCTGTATGACTGTTGACCATTATAAGAAATAAATGTGACCCTGGACCACAAAACCAGTCATAAGTCGCACAGGTATATTTGTAGCAATAGCCAACAATACATTGTATGGGTCAAAATTATCGAATAATTTCCTAACGTAAATATATCAAAACCTAATTATTGATTAGTAATATTTAGGGATGCACCGATACCGGTATCGGGCCCGATACTGGCCTCCTGTACTCGTACTCGTACTCGTTAAATCAAAAGACTTTCTGCCTCTTGCCTTATTGTAATAGCAAATTGCCACGACACACATGTAAACTGAAAAAGGCTCCTGGAGCATCTTTGCTTCATTTCTGCTACATCATGTAAATATGTGCATATTGTATTTGATTAGCTGTGCTCAATAATCATCAATAATCAATTTCCTGCGATTCTAATTTTATGCAGACTTTGTGTGGTATTAAAAAGTCAATTTGTTCAGATGCAAATTTACTATAATATAGAAAGCTCATAATGCTGTGATTTGAACTCAAATGGTTTCTACGGTTTGCTTTCAAATGAACCAACATTTCACAAAATGTAATATTTTTTTTGTACTTAGATGCAACAAATTAAACATCATAATCTGTGCTTTTGCAAGACTCCAAAAACAATATGCTCCATGCGGGTCATTCACAATGCATCGTTTTACAGAAAGCAACTTAATTATCGTAATTGATGATTTTGTAATACGAAAACAAAATCAAAAAGTCAAGCGAGTGGAGAACTAAAATGACATGAATTATTCTACAACACAATAAAAACAAGTCATTATATTCTCAGCACTTGTGGGCTGATAAGGGTGGGTATATGTGTGTATCAGCTCTATTTTGTACATAAATGAAGAACATAGGTTACTGGAAAGAAAAAACTATAATTACTGTGTTTTCTCAATGCAGTATCGACAGCTATGATTTAATATCAAATGCTACAGCGTGCTGAAGTATACTAAAAAAGAGCTCAGAAGGCAATTATTAGTGTCAAACACGACTTTAGTGTTGAAACTTTAATGAGGGGGCATCTAAAGGCTGATGGGTTTGAGCGGTGATGCCGTACCTCCAGGAAGCAGGCAGCAGGAGTGTTGTAGATCTTGACGTTGGTGGTATTAGCGCTAGGCAACAGCTGGCCGTCACGGAACCACGAAACGGAGGCGCCCGGGTGAGCGAGGGCCTCGCAGGTGATGTTAGCCGGATTACCCTCCCAGGTGAACACCGCCGCAGGGCCTTGGATCTTTGGAGCATCTGTAATTATACACAGTGTCAGCCAAGTACAACCAACACCATGGACTTTTCCAGAGAAAGAGGGGCAAAAAATACCCCGGCTTCCAGCTGGTATACATTACCCATCATCTCCCTTTCAGAATTACAATTTCTGATATCTGCTCTATTGTCTGTTGTGATTGTTGCCTCCCTGATGTTCACTTCGGCTAACTAGACTTTCCACTCCAGGATTGATACATGCAGTTGAGTCATCACATTTCCCATAAAGCTGGTCTGATAAGACACATATCCACTCAAATCTTATCGCTATCTCAGGACCACAGGCTGCAACACTGCTGCCGAGATAATGTCGGCACCCCAAAACATAATGTCTCTCTTCTGGATGAAACGGCCAATGAAATCTTATCACAGCAGTGGCTGAAATGAATACTGGCAAATTTAGGGCTTGAATTGATTTATGATTTAATGTGTAATTTTAGGAGAACACGTTCTTACCATGTTGATGTAAGTAAACAGTGAATGTTTGCATAAAGATACTGATTTCAAATAGCTAGAATAAACTCTTTCCAACTGGCTGCCAGCCTGAGACTTCATTTATACTATGAGGCTGAGCTCGATTTCAATAAAACAACACATAAACAACCAAGCAAAAGAAAAAATGCATTTAAATGTAAACTTGAAGTAAAAGGTGGGAAATAAAAGCAATGTACAGTCATGCAAAACAGAATGGAGACTCTAACCCAAACCGTAAGTGTCTGAGACTCATGGGAGTGAACAATCTCATCTAGGATCATTTGAAGCAGACAAAGCACCTTCTCTTATTGCTAATTACTGCGAAACGCTCCGTGCACTCAACCAAGAAGCTGATTACTCACAAGCCGGGCTGTGGCAAACTGCATTTCCACACAATTTCTATCAATTGCACATTGTGATGCTATCTCAGGAACTGGAGAAGATTTTTAGGGCAAGAAAAATTAATCCAATTAGACTTTCATTGCACTTCAAGCTTCACTCCCTCCCACTTTTCTGAATTAGATTGTGGGAATGCTTAAAAATGCGCAAGCAGATGAAAATAACTTTAGCTAGCTTTACTGTAATTCTCTACCTGGCAAATGGCACAAAAGTGCACTCAGCCAACTGCAGTAAACATAATCTGATAAAATAAGCGTTTGCTCTCAAAATTGAGTTTTAAGAATGTGAAGATGGCAGTATTTCATTTCATATGAAGAGCTCTGAATGTAAGAAATAAGCCCAAAAGCTATAAAACACATTCGAGTATATGGCACTGTGATTTGAACTGAGCTTTTGGTGGAAAGCAAGTTTAATTAGTTTGAAACAGACATAAAAAAGCCCTCAAACCACCAATTCCTTCAAAAATCATTTCTGTTGTTCTTTTGCTATATACACAAAAAAGAAGAAAAAATACTCATTGTTTCATAAAAAACATGAATAACATCTGTCAATACTCTACACTGGTTCATGCAGGTCTGCTGGGTTTAATTGGTGGATTCACTGTTCACTTGCAAATATTAGCTGCTTTAGTTTCTGACAAACAATAAGGTCTTAATGATTAAGTTAGTTAAGAGCCTGGTGGTCTTATTTTTGGGTCCAGCATCCATTTCCTGGTGTTTTAGTAGCCAACAAAAGCTAGTACCTGACAAAGATCAAAAGGAACATTGAGAAATCACAGTCTGTCCACTTCATTGAGCTTTGACACATTTGCCTTGAACACAACAAGACAAATAACCTACAAAGGACAAAGAGAGAAGTTTGTGGTTTAGCTTACAGCGCACTTCCAGGTACATGCTCTGGATGTCCTGACCAATGGAGTTGCGGGCAGTGCAGAGGTACTGGCCGGCATCGGTGAACTGCACGTATTTCAGAGTCAGAGAGGACACACGGGCATCACTGCGCACGATCACGTTACCATCCAGACTCTAAAAAAGAGAAAGAGAGAGTGAGAGTAAGAAAAATATATGTAAAATACAAGTATACAAGTACACTAGCACACAAAAGTTTGGGATCAGAAAGATTTTTCATGTTTTTTTTTTTAAAGTAGCCTCTTATGCTCATCAAAGTTGCATTTATTTGATCAAAAATACAGAAAAAACTGTAATAGTATGAAATATTATTGCAATTTAAAACAAAGTTTTACTATTTTAATATACTTTAAAGCATAATTTATTCCTGTGATACAAAGCTGAATTTTCAGCATCATTACTCCAGTCTTCAGTGTCACATGATCCTTCAGAAATCATTCTAACATGCTGATTTATTATCAATATTGGAAACAGTTTTTGCTGCTTATTAACTTTTTGAAACCTGTGATATTTTTTTCCAGGATTCTTTGTTGAATAAAAAGTAAAAAAGAACAGCATTTATTTAAAAAAGAAATCTTTTGTAATAATATCAAATGTTTGGGGTCAGTAATGTTTTGTCTTTTTTTTTTTTAAAGAAATTAATATATATATATTTAGCAAGGTTTTGTTAAATTAGTAAAGATTGATAAATAAAATTGAGAATTTATTTTGAATAAATGTTGTTCTTTTTAACTTTTTATTCATCAAAGAATCCTGAAAAAAGTATCACAGTTTCCAAAAAATATTAAGCAGCAAAAACTGTTTCCAACATTTATAATAAATCAGCATATGAGAATGATTTCTGAAAGATCATATGACACTAAAGACTGGAGTAATGGACAATGAAAATTCAATTTTGCATCACATGAATAAATTATATTTTACAGTATATTAAAATAAAAAAAAAACACACGTTATTTGAAATTGTAATAACAATATTACTGTTTTTTTCTGTATTTTTGATCATGCAGCCTTGATGGGCAGAAGAAAAGTCTTTAAAAAACATTAAAATCTTACTGATCCCAAAATTTTGAACGGCAGCGTATATTAGTCGAAGTTAAACCTAAATACTAGTGCTAGGGGAACAAGGTGGTCCTCATAGTGAAAGTTTACACAGAAACTAACATTATCATTATTGATTCACCCTCATGCTGTTGCAAACCTGTATGACTTTCTTATAGAGTATGAAAAACAAAAGACTACATTCTGATGACTTTTATATGTTCCAGACCTAAATTTAAAATTCTCAAAGAAAATCTTGACATCCACATCCACACATGTCCATTTGCGAATCTGAATCAACTGATTCACCAAAGAGATCCGACTCAAAAGAATGATTCAATCAAACCAAGTCAAGGTTTTCTTGTGAAAAACAACTTTAGGTCAGTCATACAGGTTTGGAAAGACATGAGGGTGAGAGCAGATGATGACATTTATTTCATCATTGGAAAACAATCCTTTTTTTTAATGTCATTCCTGCACACAACTACAGACGCCAGTCGAAGGGACGGCATGTCTTTGTGTTTCAGGCTCTGTCTGGGGCTCAGGGGGATATTTTAGGAGATAGTGAGGCAGGGATCAATAATGAAGTGGACCACACAGCAGGGGCCACTTTAAAGCCTTTTCACCTCAAAGACTGTTTGCACAGCACATCTAGGACAATCTGCTAACAGTTTACTCCCTGGCTCCATCCCGCTCTTTAGCTTGTACTGCGTTTACTCTGCTGCCCATCTCTGGTTACTATGGTGATCTGAGATCCTAAGGTTGGAGGGGCTTTGAATTCAGCAATCAATACTAGCTCCAGCTGTTACAATGAAAAGCCGGCATGTTTTTCATCACTGCTCTGTGTTGTTTGCATTTCAAAGCATTTCTTGCTAGTTTTCTTGGTTGTTTCACTAGTTTTCAAAAGCAACTAAAAAGGCCCTTCAGATCAGCTTCCGAAAGGAGCAAATTCACATCATTAACCGGTGATTACACATGCGTAGCTGACATTAAATACTTTTGGAAAGTTCAAATACTGTGCCGTGACGCGCTAAAACTCAAAACTATTTTCTACAGCATTTTGCTAATTCTTCCTTACTTCTTAAACATGCAGCTTTTATTAGCTCATGCTAATTGAGAAACCACATGGAACATTTGTACTTTTCGAAGTTCATTTGCCATAACACATGACCATTTAAAATGAAGTGAAAAAAAAATTATTAAAGAACCTACTGAAGCTGTAAGATGCCACAAATAAAATTCTTGTTGTCACGAAAAATTCACGAAAACTTGTTTTTCCAAGAGTTTGACATTTTTTTTTATTTTAAATCCTGAACTTATATAATATTTCTTATATACAAGAAATTTCTTATAATATATGCATATAATTCATAATAAACAAGGAGAAGGTTTTGACTTTTAATTTTGCACCACAAGGTTAAAATGGAGATCTCTCAAGCGGTATTCATTTAATCAAGAAATGTGTCCTTCACCATATCTTATTGCAAATTAATAGATCTTAACATTATGTTTTATACCTTGAGGCAGTATATACAGCATGTATGTATATACATACATACATTTTTACCTTGAGGCAAAATATTTTATATTTTTAAATATATTCTTTATTTATTATTCCATATACAGTATACACATACAATATTTATTTGGTTCTCCATTTAATTGGCTACACATTTACAATCAAGCACCTTGTGAATGAAACTGAAAAAGCTTTTGCGTCAACTCTCCATGTTACCCATACATTAGTGACTGACTGTAATGTGGTGTTTTGTTTCATGTTCATGTTTTCCATGTCTTTTATTTTGTAATTGTTTCATGGTCCCTGTTTGTGTCATGCTTCCCTTGCCCTCATGTATTCATGCCATTGGTTCCCCTGTTCATTTGTTTGTTGTGCTATGTCTGTTCAAGTCAAGTCAAGTCAAGTCTGTGTTTCTTGTTTGGATATCACCTGTAAATAAAACTGCACTTGGGTTCTCACTTACGCTCGCCTTCAGTGGATGATTCATTACACTGACACATGCGTGTTCGCCTTATTGATCTTCAAAAGAAGAAATCAAATGGAAATCCACAGATTAATGACACTCATGTAATTTACAAGAAAATTAACTGACTGAGAGAATCTGACTTGCATAATGTAACCCATGTTAATCAGAGAGTGCAGCCTCTTCCATGACACGTTTAAATAGATTTATTAGTCATGCCAGCTGACACCATATTACTCAGTTAATAAATACAACTCCTGTGCTGAAGCCACCGGCCACATGGATACCCATTCCCATTCAATACGAACGGACATTTAGAGAGAAAAAGTGTAGCTGTCACAGCCTGATATTAACAATAAGCACTGTTGACATTCACAAGCAGTATTCAGTGCAGCAGAATGAATAAAATAAGCCCAGGAGAGCCGGATGCGCTCTACATTTTTCGTGCTTAGCGAAGCGTACTTTGTTTTACCTGCACTACAATGATGCTATTGCATGTACATGCATACTGAATGAAATATGGGATGCTGTTTTGAGCATCCCACAACTGCTCAGTGTATGATTCACATTTTTCTTTAAGTGAAGGCACTGCAAAACGTGAACATTAGCATGCACCTTTCATCAGTGCCACAGACGGTCCCCCGACAGCGTGCGAAGACAGCCGGGAAATAAGATGTTTCTGAAACCTGCAGTGGCACTTCATTTATAAAGTGCCTGTTCAATGGTCAGTGAGAAATTTGACTGCGGAGCGGAATGGAGTGTACGCGGCGCTGAAATCCAATCAATTCACAAACTTGATTTAAGGTGTGGTGGCTTAGTCACGATCTGAGGGATTGAGTGCTTTAAGTAACAACCAGGGTCTCGACCATAAATTCCATCCTGCTTGTGCCTCACGTTCAGAGGGCTGTTAGTATGCATGGCTGTCGAGCGAGTCCCCTCCCGTTGCATAGTAATTGACAGTAAGCCGAATATGCAGAGTCTCTCCTGTTTTATGTGCGTACGTAGGGTCGGTCGCACATAAACCTTCACAATTTCTTTGAACGTTAACCTTGAACGCTTCCGGCAAATCACTTTGCGTCATTCTGCCCATCCGTTTCTCCTGAAAGAGCAGGCAACCAACGGCGGAACTGAATCAGAGCTCACATTCAAGGTCTCCTGCGTGAAAGAAAGGGATTTCTTCTTTTCCCTCGGGAGAAAATAGTAGGTGACGGATATCATATTGTATGACTGCACTGACAAAGAGACAATGTCAGAAAAAAAGCTGTTGCTGGGAAAAGCGAGTCAAACGATGTCCTGCGCTTCAAATTTCACGCTAACAAGAACTGGAAGAGCACTCTAGCACAGACAAGATGGATCAGAGTGTGTCCAAATGCGGAAGAGAATAAATCTGAACTTTTGATAAAGATGGACTATCTTGGACTGATGCAAGACATGTTGAGAAATAGCTGCTCTGCAGCAGTTACATTCTAGACAGTGAGCTGGCCAGACGATCCAAGATTGAATGCTAATTGAATTTGGTCAAGGTCACATACTGTAGTATATGCATACCTACATATATATATAGGTATGGACAGCATCTATAAGTAAACACATTTATGAATAAACCACTTGAGATGTACAAATCTTTATAAATCTTTTAACGATCGATCAGAAAACAGAAAGTCTAAAATCTAAAATGGTGAATTTATTTATAAATTAAATAAACTAATAACCAAAAAGCTGTTCGTACCCTTTCTATGGCTGAACTGAATTATATAAGAGAAACACTATTGATGCCACAGTGTGAAATTAATGTTTCACTCACTTACTGATTTGTGTGCACATTCGCAATTGTTCTGACCACAATAAACTTAGTTCCATAAAATAAAATCTATTCCATGAAAACCATATTTGTACATTTCAAAAGTTGATGTTGTACATCTTAAAGAGGTTTTGCATTGCATTTTATTGAAATGAACTGTTATTCAGCAATGACATATTAAAATGATCAAAAGTGACAGTAAAGACATTAATAATTTTACAAAAAAATAAAATAAATACATTTTAAATAAATACTGTTCTTTTAAATGTTCCATTCATCAATGAAAAAAATGTATCACAGCTGTCCCAAAAATATACATATATATTAAGAAAGACAAGTATTTTCAACATCGAAAATAATAAGGAATAAATTATATTTTAAAATATATTAAAATGGAAAACGGTTCTTTTTAAATTGTAATTGTATTTTTTTTTTCAAAATATTAATGTTTTTACTGTATTTTTGATCAAATAAATGCACCATCAGGCATCACGGAGCATCAGAGACTTCTTAAAAAAAATCTTACTGACTCAAAAATACTACATGGTAGATGTATGCGAGTACAAAAATCTATAAAATGATATTGAAATCTTGGTGGCAGAACACACTTATAAAAAAAAAAAAAAAAATTATTAAAATATATGAAAAATAAATGACTGGCCTAATCTTGCATGATTATTAGATACAACCCATTAAAACTGATTCAATTCTGTATGTGTATGTCTGAAAAACAGGCTTGTAATTAAAATGAGCTGTAGAGTTTCTTTTTAAGGCTGAACTTTGTGCTTATGTTTGATTGTAGAGGGCATATTAAAGCTACTAAAGTTATCCAGCTGCGAACATCGAGTGGTTTTCTCTTTTTCCTATTAAAATTCATGACTGATTAGTAGTAGCAACATAATAGACAGCGGCAGGTCCATTTACATTTCAAGGCACAAGTATCTGATATTCTAACACATCACATATCCATTTTTTTGTTCTACCTGTTTGCATTCACTAAAGACATAACCGACTGTGTTTACATTAACACCTCGGCATGACGAGCATTTCAAATAAGAAAAGCATTTGACCGTTCGTGCGTGTAGCGTACTGCGAGGCACGAGTGCACTTCACACAGCACACACACAGTACGTGTGAGCATTGAAATCAGCCGCCTGTCAGTCACACAGCACTCGAGTCAGTACTGTAATCTTGAATTTTTAGTTTAAAGTATCAACTCAGTACTGCAGACTCTTAATTATTCCAAAACTTATGATAAAGTAATTTCCATGTCTTTGACTCAGAAGAAAAGCGCACGTGTAAAGAACCATGGTGCTTTTTATCTGTACTCCTGAGGATTAAAAACATGAAGTGATGTGTGGGCAATCCCATAACTGTGGCCTTTCATCTCAGCAGATCAGATAAACAGACCTTCCCACACAATCCATATGTATCTGAATCATTCTTAATCATCAATGCAGACACTGATGAATTCTTTCTCTGACAGATGAATAAAGCGAGAGTCTAACATTTCAGAGTCAAGCATGGAATCACTTGCTCATATTGTGCATCTACAGCTAAGTCAACATGAAATCAAAATTAACCTATTTGCTTTCTTCTTTGTAATCTGTAATAACAATGTACTTTTCCTTTCCATTGACGTCACTATAATGTTAACCGACAGGCGATATTTTCACAAACAAACATTCGGCCTGCTTTTTCCAATCCTGTCAGCAATGGATAAAACACAGGCCCGTCCTACATTTTTATCATTAAATGTCCTATTTAACACAAATGCGCAACATTACAGAAGTAAAATGGGTTTTACATTGACTTTAAAGTTACTGCAATCATCTCTGACATGTGGCGTATGAGTTTATTCAGTGAGGGTTAGTATGTTTATGTTAACAGAGGCTTGTGTTGTCTGAATCTGGAGTTGGTTATATGTGTTAGTGTCTCCTTTAGTGCTGCTACATTCCCCTGTCTGAGTCTATGGGAGAACACTGAGTGTTGGCTCATACTCTAAATAAGTACCTGGCATGTTTCAACCTTTGAACACCCCTTCTTTATTTTCTTCCTCAATCCCTTGAGAAAGTTTGGCCGAGGGGAATTGGTAAAGGAAAACAGGTCTGCTAAGAAAGGTGAAAAAAAAAAAAAAACTTCATAGCTTAAAAAGACCAAATAGGATCTTCACCATTTCTGTTGACAGAAGCTATCCAGAAAAATAATGAGCAATATGCTGTAAAGAAATGAAATGACACGACAATCATTGTAGACTATAGGGATGCCATCTGATCAGATGTGATGTGTGTGGGTGGGTGTGTCTACAGGATTTTAAGGGTAGAAGAGAGCCAACACTTGATGTTCTGCCGTGATAAAGGGCTTCTCTAGGATTAGTGAACATCCTGGCTACGTGTGAAGCAGCCCTACCTTGTGTTTCTCAGGTCGAGTCCATGAAGCCTGGGAGGACAAACACATAAAGCAAAACTTGGCAGAAATGAAAAAAATAATAAAAATCAGCAGGCACTCAGTTAGACGGGCATCGCACATGCACGTTATTTAGAGAAGACAGCTTGTGAAGCTCCAAGTTGACAACTTGACTTGAATCAAGACAAATCAAAGACAAATCTTTTTATTAATTGTACCATACTCACAGGCAACAGATTTCTGAATAATAACTTAATTTTTTTGTTATGTTTTTTATTATTTGTAGTTCTGAGTTATTTATTTAAAAATATATTTATATAATGATATTTTTTATATAATGATATAATTTTTAATATATATAATGACATTACTTGTCATTATAAAAGAAACATTATATATGACCTTGAACTGACCTTGCAATGACCAGAACATGATACCAGTTGAGAGGCACATAATCACAACGTTATCAAGTGTGACAAATCATTTTTGAACATGAACAACAAACAAACTGCATGGAAAAGGACACATTTAGCTGCAGGCTGGGAAATCAAATGACTACAACATGAGTGGATGCTCAGACATCCAGGTGCAATGCTCCAGGTGACACATGCATATGATCTTGCAAATAATGTGAAAAGTCAGCCCCCCACCCCACCCCACATGCTGACAAGCCATCAAAATGCCACACTACATCAATAATTAATAACACAATAGGTATACATATGAAATGATGCACACCTTGAAACTATGTGTCGAAGAGTGCATCAATCTGCCGAGATCTGCTAACTGTGATCACCACATTCATTTCGCCTATGTCCCATAAGTCACAGGCAGCAGCTTTGAGCCTTAACGAGAGCCATTCTTCCATTTGACAACACAGATCCCTTTATTCTTTGAACGGGACAGTGATGAGTAGTTTTCAGTGAAGGTTTTTATACCTTCCACTCATTTGTTAACCTAAAATCAATCAATGACATTGCCATCTGGAATTGCATCGCCGAGAATTTGCATGACTCACAATAGAGGCTGTTGAAGACGTGACTCGAACCGCTGATAAATCAAACAGACATGAATAGCAGACAACCTACCCATTTGACTTATGACAGAGCGACAGCGATTCAATGAAAGCTTGCTCTTCATGAAAGCAGCATCCTATTATTTTGACTGCTAATCACACAATTTGGTTAAAAGCGAATCTGCCGCAGACAAGTGGGATTTCAGGATGCATTATCAAATCTGACACTGATCAAGCAGAATAATGACATTTGTGATTAAAGAAACTACTTGTAGTCTGCTGAGTTCCAGCTAAATATTTAAAGTCATTTGGCTCTCATGAACAAAGGACATGATTTTTAAAACGGCTTAAGTCTTTGTCTAAGCAAATCAATTGAGCCGTTTGTCGGATAACAGCTAAAAGCAGTCTGATGGAGCCAAAGTTTTGACTAACTACATCTATCGGTTCTACTTTGCAGTTTATTCTAGCAAACAACTGTCCAATTAGACAGGAGGAAATTGTTTGACTGATATATAAAGTGATCAATCACAGTTTGTTTACTTTTTATCTGCCAATTAGGAGCAGGTATATTTAAAATAATTGATAGCACAATAATTATGGGTTATTTTTTTCCCTTATAAGCATTGTATCAACAATGCATCTTTACTATGCATCTCAAACCAAACCTGGTTAACTTTGACTAGTGATTACAGTATCTCTCAAAAGCCCATTAGTTTTCACTTTTCTGTTCGATTTGCATCAGACTGTGGGCAGAATCTACAGAAAAAGACAGTTAAAAATATGACTAACACAGTATTAGGCACCAAAACCTTAGCTGTCCTGCAAAGAGTCCATCTGAATTTACAGGCCACACTTGTATTAAAGTGGCTTGACATCCTTTCTTCCACTATTGATTTAATTACTCGCCCACTGACAGCTTGTCAAAAGGTTACAGGGGGTTAAAACCTTGTGTTTGGCACCTGCTTCAGCTATCTTGGCAGCTCGACCCTCTTCTCTTGAAAACAATCCTGGTCACGGACTCTCTCGTTGACCTTTACAACAAAACATCTGACTTATTACACTCTGCATGCATATAAACAGCTTCGGGATGACACTGATCTGTAAAGAGCAGCAAGATCATCTGTCCATTGTGAAATCCAAGAATGAACATTCAGGGTCACATAAGAGAAAAAAAAATCTAATCTTAAAAGTCCCCCCCGGTTGACCATGGTTATCCCGGCAGGGTGTGTGATAATGGTTCTGAGTGCACAGACACAGTCTGCTTAAGAGCGTCATAGCAAGGACCGTACTGACCTCAGATCAGCAGGGGTGCCATTAAGAGACTATCATTAGAGAAGGGCAGCTTGGCTCTGGACTCCACAATAAGCTAGCAGCCCTGAAATGCCTCTTTTGATTGTGTAATTCATACAGTAGCGGTGTCAAGGACAGCTCACTACGTCCCAGTGAGAGCGGCTTAAATGATAAATGATGGGGCAGTGACTCCACAGAAGCGTTCTCATCTTTACTTAATGTTAAGTCCCTTGACTCAGTACTTGGGAATGTGATTTTCAGTGCGTAACACTCACAATGAGTAGCTATTGTTTTTAAAGGGATAGTTCACTCAAAATTCTAAAATACTATAAGTTTTACTCACCCTCAATGTCATTCTAAACCCATATGCTGTTGCAAATAATTTTGAAGAACCTTAAATTTTTTTTCCACACAACGGCAGTTCATAGTGACCACAGCTATAAAGATTTTTTTATATATAAGAATATATTTAGGATTTTATATGCTCAAAAAGGCTGCATTAAAAAAAATATAGAAATACAGTAAAAACTTTGTGAAATATCATTACAATTTAAAATAACTGATTTCTGTTTTAAATTTTAAAATGTATTTTATTACTGTGATGGCAAAGCTGAATTTTCAGTTTCATTACTCCAGTATTCAGTGTCACATGATCCTTCGGAAATTATTCTAATATGCAGAGTCGGTGCTCTAGAAAAATGTATCATTATCAGCAATGCTGAAAAAAAGCTGCTTAATATTTTTGTGGAAATTGTGATTTGTTTTCAAGATTTTTGTTAAAAAGAAAGTACCAAAGAACAGTATTTATTTAAAATAGAATTTTTTAAAATATTGTAAGTATCTTTACTGTTACTTTTGATCAATTTAATGCATTCAAGCTGAATAAATATAGCAATTTCATAAAAAAAAGAATGGTGTATATACAGTCAAAATATATACAATATACAATATTCAATGTAAATATATTTTGACTTGAATGTCAGTTCATTTAGATGTTACCACCCAAAGCAAATTTTACTTATTTATTTATTTGTTTGTTTTTTGCCATATTTGATTTGAAAGTGAATCTTGATGTAAAGTAATTATGAAGATAAGTAATGACTTGCTACTTACATCCATAGCAATTGTATGGCCTTAGAAAGTTGGGATATAGTGCATCATATGGATCGTATGGATTTATTTGAACATATTTTGGTCCATTTTGGACTAGGCAGATGTAATTCTAAACTCTCATTGTATCAAATTCAACAAAATTTCTAATTTCGTGTCCCACTACAAAAAACAACAGCAAAGAGGTTTGGAGCAACATGAGGGTGCGCAAATGATTACAGAACTTTCATTTCCTTTAATGGCCTTTCCTTCTGGATGAATGATCAAAAACGTGCCTCTTATGTCAGAACATGCTGTCTCTGTGAACTCTCATGCCATAACCATTCATCCAACAGACAGAACGGAAAACAGACAGAGAATCTTCCATAATGCATTTGCTTGGAGAGTTCAAGGGAGATCAGTTTGTTCCAGTCCGGTTCAGATACTGCTCACTTGGTAGTCACAGTTCTCTGCCTTCTCTGAGGTTTTTGTGCATTTCTGACTTATTCAGACGTTGGAAATTTGTGGTTGGGAATACAGAATACGTATGAGGGACAGAATTTAAGGAGACTTCAGAAAAGCTCTTGACTCATCATATCCGTATTAATATGCCAGCTCACCCACTAAAATCCCTGGTTTGATTACAGGCTGTTGAAGCCTCATTTGCCTATCCACATTCCTTTTTAGATATAGAAAAAAACCACAATGGAAATGATTTTACACCACTGGAGTTCCTGCTATAATAGCTGTTCTGACCACGCTTTACATGACCAGAAATAACCACAGATCGTTGTTACTATTAAATACCATGCACTTCATTTAATGGCAGCGGTGATGAGGCCCCATTGACTTAAGGTATGCCTCATTAAACACTGCCAGCTCTTTTCACTTAAGGCAATCCCCGGGCAACCATTGAAAGATATATACTTACACACATACTTATAGCACTGTCTGTCTGAATTCTAGATTCTGATTGGCTGGAATCCTTGAATGTACAGATAATTCCAGTCAGTGAAGACACAGAAACATAAAGAAGCACAAAAACTTGTTGTCATTGCTGTCCTGCAACTTAATCAATAAAACAGCACCGCTACTAAAAAGCTGCACTATATTTGTTAGCAAATGTATTTGTCTTTTTATTTTTTTAAATTTAGTTTTAAAATTGCATTCAGTCACTCATGGTTCATTTTGGAACCTGTATATAACCTGTAATATTTTACATGGTCTTTTCTGATGTAAGCTGCTTCGCTAGTACCTAATCAACACTGATTTTGTAACATAATCATTCTGAAACATGAAAATGAACATGAGGAAAATGAAGAAGGTGAACATAAAAGCATCACTGCATCCTGTAGATGTGATGAGATGAGGTGAGAGATAAGTGCAGATCAACAATATTAGTGCTAATGAACTCCTACAACCCTGCAGGAAAATTCAGATTATTATAGCACTCCATGTGTTTTTCAACACAGTAGTTGGTTTCTCTATACAAGATATTAGTTAGTCCAAGCTGGTCATTAGCGGGTCAAGTTGACCTACCAAAATATCAGCTACCAAATTATAGTTTGACAGTTTCTGCATGTTTTCCATTCACAAGATGGACTGGAGTCATGTTGATTACTTGTGGATTATTGTGATGTTTTTATCAGCTGTTTGGACTCTCATTCTGACGGCACCCATTCACTACAGAAGATCCATTGGTGAGCAAGTGATGTAATGCTAAATATCTCCAAATCTGTTCTGATGAAAAAAAAACTAATCTACATCTTGAAAGGCCTTTTTCAGTAAACTTTCAATTTAGGGTGAATAATTTTGTTACGGTGAGCAATGTTTGTTGATCTACTGGCTAATGACAAGCACAACCTATTAGACCAGCTAAGATACCAGAATACCATTTTTCAAAATACAAGTTTAAGTGTATCTGGTTGTTTAAATCCAGTTCTAGTCAAATGAACAAAATCAAATGAACAAAATGGTTTAATCTAACACTGTTTAAAACAAGATTATGGCATTAAATGGACATTCATAAATGGAACAAGCAACTTTTTACTTTTTTTCAAGTAATTACTTTTGTAACCACGATGCTATAAGTGCAGGAAGAGAATTCAAGAGTCAGACATCAATTCAGAGCAGCATGAATAACCAAGACTGTGATCATTCTTAACAAAGCATATCCGTCTGCCATTCTGAGCTGAGAACCAACGATAAAAATTATCATAAATGAAGAAATCCTTCACCGTACAGCTGGAAATATTTTTTTCCCCTTTGGTAGCTATGAATATTGGCTTGACTAGCCAGAGAAAATACAATGCAAACACAGGGAAGGATCCAATCTGGTGGGCTATTGTCACGCAAATATCATCTTCATAACGAGCCAGATGTACACGTAAACATAAGGTGCTTTTTCACAGCCCACCATTCAGCAAAGCTGAATTTTCAGCAGTCTTGACAGTTTTGAACGGTAGTGAATATCAATATAGCTAATTACTGAAAATTATATTCATCAGACCTTTTATCTGCTCGGAATCTCTTATTTTAATCCAACTAAAAATTCACTCCCTCTTTTTAATTGAACATGATAAACGTTTGCTTTGATTCTGAAACAAGCCTCTCATCAGGCATTCCAGTACAGCTTCCATGGCTTACTAGAAACCTTTTGCCAACCATATTTAATTACTAGATATAAATGCACAGTTGATCCAGGTGTTACTTAATAATTCTAAAGGTAAATCAACCGTTTCCCTATCCTTGTTTTTAAAAAAGCAGCAGAACAGGTGCACAAACGAAAGTTTTACAGCATTAGCAACAATAACAACTAAAGAGGTCAGTTAAATAACACAAAGGACATTCTCTTTTTTTAAAAAAAAGCTCTTTCTCGTTTCCTCTCTGATTGTAAAGTGACTGAAACCCACTTAATACCATGTGGCTACGTTTTATATAACCATGATAGAAATTATACTCAAATGTGTACAAATTTCTACCGGCATATCAATCAAACCAGTATTTTCCAGCATTTAGTACTAATCGTTTTGCCCATTGAGCCCTGATCCCTCAACCTCAGCACCTGCTCATTCTCGGTGAAGACCCGGCGACCGAAGCTCCAGATGATGTTGGGGGTGGGGTCACCCGTGGCCTCACAAGTTAGTGTGATCTGCTCCTCCAATTCAGACGCTGTCTGGTTTTCTAGGAACGTGATCTTGGGTTGTACTGTTGACACATAAACACACAAGCACTCAAAAAACAGCCTACAAACACACTCCTCAGAGAAATGAAATAATGATTTTCCTCTATGCAATTACTGAGCCTTTACAATGGTAGTAATACCAAAACAGTGCTCTTAAGTTGATGAGATGAGAGTGCCTCACTGGCTGGGTGCATTCGATATTTAATCAACACATTGTTATATTTTATAATTCAAAAGAGGAACTTTGTTTAATGGATGAAATGGAGTAGTACTTTGATTCACTTTTATTTGCCTCGGCTCTAATCTAAGCGCTCTGAAGCCGTGCCGGAGAATGTGGCTAGAGAAAACTTATGCATGATGAGAAATAAAAAATATTGTGATTGTGTTTTGAACTGCTACAAACATTTAAAATATTCATGCAAACTTAATAACAATGATAAAGAACAAAAGCATAGAATGGCACTGACACAGCAGCTCTCAGGATAAAGCGTGTATTTAAACTATAAACTAGGAACCAATGCTTTTTGTGTTCACATTATGTCTGTTACTTTTCCCATGCTCTCTTTTCAATAGTGATAGCTACTCTTTAGGAGTATTCACATTTGTTCTTATAAAGAGAACAATTTGGATCACTTTCAGTTGACAAAAAATTAATAAGAACTAAGTTATCTTTAGCCCAATTCGGATGGTAATTATTTCTCATAGGGGTTAAAAAGGTTAGTCTGTGAAATCCCCAGATGAATTACCTACTGTTTTTTTGACAAACACCAAAGTCGTGTAGTAATTTAATAGGTGTCTGAATCCACATATCTGAGTTTATAAGACAAAATCTATTCAAAATTCACCATTTAAATCCTTTTTGACCACTGACGAATACCGTATGGTAACTGTTGCACTTTGCTGTAATTTGCATGCATATTTATTGCTGAGATCCTGGAAAGTATTTACAAGAACAATATTTCATAACTGCTCCACCACAGCGAGTGGGAGCTGTTAAGAACAAACAGACGAAAGAGAAGAAACGCATGTAAATATTTGAAATGGGTCATTATTATGCAACAGGTATGCAAAATAATTTCAAAATATGTATTATATACAATTATATGGATAAGTATATCGCGTATAGTTATATACAATTATATAGCACGTCTATTTTCCTGTTTTTAAACAAGAGATTTAAATAAACAAATAATAAATAGGATAATATATTAAAAATATGCTTGGAATAATACAAATAAATTTTACCTAATAATAATATTTTTTTTAAATACATTTTGCACAATAATAAGAATACATTTTACACAATAATAAGAATAAATTTGTAAATAAAAAACATTTTATTCAATAAAATGCAGGATGTATTCTGGGGACGTAAGCGTAATAAATCGCCATGAGTTTTATCACTGAGGTGTCATGTAAATTTATTTTTACAGACGTCCACATAAGAAACAATTTCCGTACGAATAGGGCTTTTGTATTCACATCATTCCCGAAACTAAAAGATTTTCCTCTTTAGTTGTGATAGGGCCATAGTCCCCCTCTCATTTACATATTTCATTATATATTTAATTTAAATTTTTTTGGAAAACTATTTTATATCATAAAATCAAATTTTTTGTTGTAATTTAGCAATACAAATTATAATAAGTAAACCATATTTTTACAAGCCATAATAATTATATGAATGATTAATAATAATAATAATAGAAAAAAGAAGAAAATGAACTAAAATACAGAATAATATCACACACATACACACACACACACAATATATATATATATATATATATAGACACACAAACACACACACGCACACACATATACTGTGTGTATATATATATATATATAAAAAAAAATCACAAAACCTGTGTCATTTCATTACATTTGATTAGCATAGTAACTTATAGAGCCCTTTGCATGCAGAGTGTAGTAGATGACATAACGGATGACACAACTTTGAAATAAGCAGTGCGTGGCGTTTATACTCATTTAATAATATTGCAACATTTCACGGCTTAATAATCGCACAAGGCAATAACACAATTTTGATTTCAAACTGATGAATTGTATGGACCTCATGGAAAGGACATTTTCCTGGTAACTCATATGTAAACGCTTGTTTTCAGTTCAGCTCCAGTGACAGAATTCTTCAGCTTACCAAACACATTGAGTGAGACTTCCTCGCTCCTCTCTCCGGCCTTATTTCTAGCGATGCACTGGTAATCTCCTTCATCAAGCTTAGTGACATCTTTGATGGTCAACTCCGACCCATCTTCATTCAGACTGTACTTTCCATCTGATTCCAGCACGATATTAGCTCTGCGGGCCAGACAGAGAGTGAGAGACAGAACGAGAGAAAGGATAGGTTTACTGTTTGGCCTTGGAGCTGTTACTTGCTCAGCAAAGTCATGAATACATGATGCCTCATCTCCACATACACCAGAAAATACAGAGAGAAAGTGTGCCTGCCCAGGAAATGGATTCTTCATCCGGCAGTGCACAGCTTCTCATGATGCAGATAGTCTAGGAAGAAGCTGGAGAAAAATAAAAGCGGATCTGCTTTGTCATCTTCGGCTTCTTGACACGTTCCTGTCTCAGAGCCAATATAAAAGCTGTAAATAATGTCTGAATGCCATAAACATCAAGCTGATGGGCTTTTTTATTTGGAAGAATGCTGTGCGCTGTGTTTCCCTGTGACACTAAATCAGTCATGCAAAGTTTGGATCCAAATACCTGCTATTTTGCTTGTAACAGCAGCAATTGAGCGACATTTTCAAATGGCCCCCGAGTGACAGCACTGTCAGTGAAGGAGGGAAATAAATGAGGTTGTGGCGAGCGCTCTTATCCCTCCTTCTCATGAGGCAACGCAATTCACGCCAGTCACAACTTGGTTAAAGAAGTCACTGGAGTTTTGAGGTAAAGCTATGCTGAAAGCTGCCAGCTGCCTTAGCTGCCACGGCTAACGGCAGCTGAAAGAATAAAACGGCGCCTCTGCCATTCACAGCACTTTTAGTTTACAAGCTTCAATAACTCTGATCCCTCTCCCTCCCTGGATTCGGGGAAAGCTTAGCAATACCCTACAGAGATTTGGCTGGACTTTTTCGGTGCTGTTTTGGCACAGAGAGATAAAGGGCTGCTAAAAAAGAGCGGGTAATGAATGATACGTACCGTGCCCACGTGACGGTGGGTTCTGGGTAGCCATCTGCGTAACAGGCCAATGTCACGGCCTGGTTGATGTCTGCAGTGGCATTAAGCTCAGTGTAGCGGGTCCTGATACTTGGCAGAACTGGGAGAAGGAGAGAAAGGCGAAAAGAACATTGACTCTTTAAAGGGACAGACGACCCCAAAATGACAATAGGACTCTTTCTCATTTCGTTCCGAAATCTGTATGCTGTTATTTTATTCTGTGGAACTCATTTCCATTTAATGACAGTTCATAGTAACCATGCGCTCCATAAAAGAAGCACATAAAAACATTATAAAAGTAGTTTTTTGAAGCCAGTCATCACTGAATAACATTGCAAAAGATTGGTCTGTTCCTCGCATAAAGTTATCGAATGAATATTATGGAAAAAAAACCCCACTTTGAATATTTCTGAAACATTCTTCTTTTATGTTCCCTAGACAAAATAACAGCATAAGGGTTTGGAAAGACTTGAATAATTACAGAATATTCTTTTTGAAAGAAAATATTTTATTACATACTGTAGCTAAAATACAGAGCCAAACATTTTTTGTTTTGTTTTCTAGTATATCTAAAAAATATTCTAAATAATAATAAAATATGTAACTAATCTAAATTCATCTACATAAATCTCACAAAATCTTTGGTTTATGCTTAAAATGTCATTTAAAAAGGTTATATAAACGTAGGTAAATAAAAAGATTTTTTATTTTTATGAATTATTATTATTTAGTAGAATTAAAGAATTAATAACATGCAATTTACATCTCAAGCAAATTTAACTTGTTTTTACAAAAAAAAAAAACACCAAGATTTGTTTTTCACTGAATCATTTTTTTTTAATAAAATGCACTGCTTTTAAAGCCAGACTGTTTAATTCTGTAGAGACACTGGTGTAGATGTGTATAAACTCTCTGCTCCTGTGTCTCTGTGAGGAAACAAAGCAGGTGGCTCTGAGATTGAGTCCTCACCATTGACAATGACCTTGATGACCCTGAGGTCGATTTCTCCCCGGGCCATGATGCGGCCCTCGCAGGTGTAGTCACCCTCATCGGTCTTTTTGATGCCACGGATCTGGAGGTGGTTGTTGCTTAAGACCTTGAAACGGACTGTAGGTGTGAGATAAAAACAGAGAGAGGGGGAAAAAATGAAAGGGCGCAAAATGAGACAGTAATTACTCTTGAGTAAGATAAGGAGACCATGTTAACGAGCCTCTCATTACATGCTGGGCAACAAAATGACTCACTGCACATCTTCTCCAGGTATAAAATCATCTTTATGGGCTTTTCTGCAGTGCGATTGGTATTCAAGACCAACAGTAAAGGTGCACATAATATTTCAACTCCGTGGAGACACAGTAAAACAGTACTGATATATTAAAAATGATGAAAAAGGCAAATTCAGCAAGATAAAGCACAGCTTTCCGGCTGTGTTGGTAATGCAATACTTGCTTACTACTTAGTGCACACTTCACAGTATATACTGGATACTGCCTACTATTTTTTTTTTTTTTTAGAATCCTGCAGCAATAATAAGAGTAGTATGTGACAATGACAGAGTGTTTTGTGTTGAGCTTCATCTGAACTCATCAAAAAAGAGCACAGCAGAGGTTAACGAGAGAAATTTGGAAAATGTGTTATTTACATAAGAGCAGTTTGGTTTTCAAGCTTCGCTACAATTAGTGGTTTTGCAGTGAAAATTTCATCTAGCAGCGGCCTGTGAGTTCACGTCTCACAGCAGAGAGCTGCGGTCACTGTTTCTTCCAGCAGTCTCTGAGGGAGGAGCCCTCTGAGGTTAAAACAGTTCCATCCAAATGAGGCTTGAACTGACAAACAAAACAGTGCAGATGAAAACAGCATGAAACTTTAAGTTCTCACAATAAAAATTCAGGTTCTTATTGTTGCTGTTTTCATTGTCACAGTGCAAGAGAGCTTACTAACTGAAAGAGGGGATGATTTTGACAGGAAATATGGGAGAAAAGTATGGGAGATATTTGAAAACGAGAGAAGATGTGTAGAACAGAAATAAGAGTGTGGCATAGAGGGAATAAAAGAAAATGACTGAAAGAGATCTGGTTGTGGTATTGTACCATCAGTCTCAGGCTGGATTCTGGTCTTTTTAAACTTCCAGATGATTGTTGGGGGCGGCGAGCTGATGACGTCACAGATGATGTCAGCGTCATCCCCCTCGTTGAACTCTTGAGGCGATGGAGCATTTTGGAAAGTGAGTTTCTCTGAAAAAGACATTTGAAATGCACTTCAGTTGTACCACTGCTGCAAAAATACTTTTCGTAATCTGCATTTTTGTCTGGTATTCCAGTAAAAGCTTGAGAAGCAATGTTGCATAAGATATTAAGGAATGTTTTGAGAAAGAAAATATGTAAACACACTTAAAAGAATATATTTCAGAGAAAGATTTAAGATTTCCCCCCCCCATTGGTAAACAGTCTGGTTTGAAAAATAAACTTCAAGATGGTAAATTATCTGAAATATGTTTTTTAGTAAGTATCCTTGAAAGAAGTTGCATGCTGGACAGCATTTTTAATACAACATCAATAATTAAATAAAAAAAATTACGTAATGTTTCACAGAAAATGTATATTTATGAATAAAATTTAAATGATATTTTATTAAATAAAATAATTTTATTCATATATATTTAACTACAAATATATACAGTATATATATATACGGTATATATTTGTAGATGGCAGGATTAGTTTACTTTAATGAAGCATTAAAACTTTTGGCCTTGAGATAATGATTTCAAGAAGAATAATATATATAAAATGTATTCCATTAGCAACTGTCTTCATAACACATGCATGGTTGATGTTTAAAACTGATGTGTATCAACCTTATGCTTTCATTATTAGTCTACAGTTGTTTTGTTATTAAATGTTGTGGTAAATGTCAGATGGTTTATTGTGCTTGGGGGTTACTGTTGGGTCCAGTATAATTTGATTCCTCATTTCTCACGATTTCTAAATAAGCCCTTAAAAGTAAAACACTTTACTTACGGAATATTTTTAGGTTGACAGTGCCCTGAGATTCCTTGTCCCCGCTTTTCGCCACACACTTGTACATGCCTGCATGGTCGACGTTGGCATTGTAGATTGTGAGTGTCGACGAGGACTCATCATTCTTGCTGACGCTGATGTCTGGTCTGCCTGGCTGGAGCTTCTCCCCATTGGGTGCAAACCAGTCTATTTCCTTTGCATCTCCAACAACTGACAGACAGACAGATAGAGTTAAAACACTGTGTAACGAATCAGCTCATGGGAAATATGAATAATTAATCATAACTAGTTATGACAGACATCAGCTCAGCAGCTATTTCATAATTGATACGCACAAATATAACAAATCATAGCAATAAACATGTCCTAAACCAGATTTTATCTACATTTTTTTACTAAATCATTTTCATATATTTGTTACATTCATTTGAATATTTAATAGATTTTGACATGATTTTATTATGAATGTAACATTTACATATATGATTGAATCACATACTGTAATTAGAGTTGAATCACTGAATCGGAATTTTGAATCTGTTCACTGACACAGTTTGAACGGATTCAGGGAAAATGAATCAAACTCAACAATTCTCTAATACTTCTCTAATATGTCTGCAACAGAAATATTCATAATATATTCAAAATGTTTAATGTATTCTTCAGTGCTACTCAAGGACACATTCAAGGTGGTTAATTAATGTGCAGTAAAATATTTTCACAATAATATAGCTCACGCTGAATCTAGTCAGATTTTCTTTCCCCACCATTGGATGAGTCCTCTGAATATTTCAGGTGTTCTTCATTTATAATAAAAGCTGTTTTTGCTTTTCATCTACCATCATTCTTTAACATTACATTTCACTCCTCTGGATCAAAAATCAAGGACTAAACTTCACACACTGATTTACTGAAAAAATCAGGCAGGTCAATGAATTTACCGGCTGTAAATAAGCACATCAAAGCTTTAGTCAACCTTGCCCTCCCATCAGAATGAAAGGGCTTGTTTAAAAGCATTGAACAGAGCGGTGACAGCAGGTTTGAAATCAAAAGCACTTCGTGAAGGTTAAATGTGACGTGACCCCCCATTTGTTTCATTACAGGAGGGTCATCTTCCTACCTTCACACAAAAAGAATTTGGACTCTCCCACGCTGATCTCTCCCTGGGCCGGAGTGATTTCCACTTGCAGGGCAGCTGGAGAAGAGAGAGACAGAGAGAAATCCATATTTCAGAAACAACCTACATGGATACGATACACAAATCAAACAAGGGAAGTGCAAAACTATGTGTTTTCAAAATCAAGTCGTTAGTTGATTTGCTGAATGATTAATCAAAAATCAATTGTTATAATTTCATAGATGTTTCTAGAGAAGTTTTCCATTTCTATCCTTGGAATGAATAGATGTAAATTCAAAAATGCATTACATTTACAAGTGTCTGAAAAAGAGAACGAGTAGCCTACAATATCTATAAATAATATCTAGATGATGCAAAATTTTTGAGGAGAAATTGAAAAATGTACACTACAATTTATTTATTTATTTTTTTGTTGAAATAAGTCACTTACGCTTATGCAAGGCTCATTTATTTGATAAAAAAACAATATTGTCAAATATTATTACGATTTAAAATAACTGTTCTATTTTAATATATTTTAAAATATATTTCGAATTTTCAACAGCCATTACTACAGTCTTCAGTGTCACATGATCCTTCAGAAATCATTTTAATATGCAGATTTGGTGCTCAAGAATCATTTCTTGTTATTATTACTATTATGCTGAAAACTGCTTAATAGTTTTGTGAAAACTGTGATGATTCTTTGATGAATATAAAGTGCAGAAGAACAACATTTACTTGAAATATAAACATTTTTTAACATTATATATGTCTTTTCTGTCACTTTTGATTAATTTAATGCATCCTTACTGAATAAAAGTATTAATTTCCCAAACTTTTGAAACAGTAGTGTATCAAAATTCCCCTGACTTTTCCAGGCCTGGAGATAACATTTTTAAAATCCCCTGATATTTGGTCCATGTCTGTGGGAATCCTCAACTACTGTAATTGGTTATCATCCATCATGACCCATTCTTAAATTATACCCATACACACAAGTACATGTTCCTCCTACACAACCGAAACATTTCAGCAGAAAACCTTTCTTTGTTATCTAATTACTAAGGAAGTTTACATAAAATCACAGTTTCTGTCTTGAAGCTAAAAAGAGAAGCATATGCTGTACATTCCCAGTGACTGGGCCTGCCAACCAATTAAAACGCACTCCTGGGAAGGATGTTGTCAGTGGGTGTACGAGGAGCACAAGGCCGTGCATTTTTGGACCTCAAGATAACAACACGTCAATAGCGCTGGCTCTTTTCCAGTTCTGTTAATGTGGCAGGCGGAGATGAGTATTTACTGCGGTACAGAAACGGCTGTGCAGGGTGTTGGCATACAAGAGCAATGTGCAGCAAACCGTAGCCATGGTAACCCCAAGTACTGTCACAAGCGCTTATTGAAAAGCCTCAGTGTTAGGCAGGCTGATTCTCGGACTAAATATGACAATTAGGGCTCGACACTATCAGAAATACGGTGAATTATAGGCCTCTCGCAAACTTATTTTCCACCCACAATTACCTGGGGGTTCTGAACTACACTGATATTTCATAATGGTACCTTAAGCTTCAATTTTCCAGTTTAATGGAAGGCACCTGATGGAGCTCCCTGAACATTTTCTTTCGTCTGCAGTTGGGGAGCGTAATGCTGTAAATGATAGCATATTAGTTTTGCGATATGAGGCTAATACATTTCATCTTCCTGCATCAACTGCAGTGAATGAGATGAGCCCAGGCAGCAAGCGGCTGTTAGCTCCACGAGCGATGGATACCATCACATCGCAAGAAAAAGATATGAAGGCAAACTCATCTATCTCAAAAGTGAAACTGTACCTGCTGAAAAACAACATCTGATTGTTTCTTGTCAAAAAAATCACTGCAGGCAGTATCACTGAGCTTGTCAATCATAAACAACATAATGCGTCAAGAAATTACAGGAATGCTTTGTATCCTAATGTTTGTGACAAGAGAGGAATTGACCTAGAACCAAACCACATGAGTCAGATCTATACACAGCAGCATTCTGCAACTCAGAGCTCGTTTATACACACCGCAATCATGGGTAATTAGAAAAACGATTCATTCAGTAAGTTAGATTCAGTGCTCAACAGTTGATTCTTTTCCCTGTAAAAGTCCAGAAAGGCTTTTGAATTCACAATGCATGATACTACTATGACAGTGGGAATGAATAAACCTTCATTTATGTATTTTTTTCTACTCTATCATCTCTATTATCTTATGCGTCGTGGTATTCTTGTGAATGTGCAACAGGGACTGACACGGAAGAGAAGAATTGTTAAATAACGTTTGGTTTGGCGGTATGGTTCTGTTCTGGGCAAAAACCTCCCTGCCCATCCATGCAGCCTGTCATGAATGAGCAGGGAGAGCAGCAATAATAACCCCCCTAGGGTTAACAGAACAGAACAAGGCAGATATCATTAATGTACTTAATGATATTTAAGTGTAACACTTTATTCAAGATAAAGGAGTCTGATTAGCAAGGAATATCAGAAAGCCAAGTCCTGACTGTGGCGAAAGGAGGAGCTGGGGATGGAGGAGGGTAATTTGCTCCGGAGCAAGCTGAAAAGCTGCTGAATAATACTGAATAGAGCTTATATAGGAATGCTGCGATAGGTGTCGTATTCCTATAGGTAGATGTGATCAGCTGAGAATCAGCTGATGCAAGCTTGACTCACGTGACCTGCCAGAACTAACGCTAACACTTAATTTGTTATTTTTGTTTTCTTTGAGCACAAAAAGCATTCTCATAGCTTCTTAAAATTACGGTTGAACCACTGATGTCACATGGACTATTTTAACAATGTCCTAACTACCTTTCCGGGCCTTGAACTTGGTAGTTCCCTTGCTGTCTATGCAGGATCAGAAAGCGCTCTGATTTCATAAAAAATATCTTAATTTGTGTTCTGAAGATGAACGAAGGTCTTACGGGTTTGAAAAAAAAAACATGAGGGTAATTAATGACAGAATTTTCATTTTTGGGTGAACTATCCCTTTAATATGTCAGACTTTAAATGAAAAAGCGTAGTTTAGTAGTAGAACAAGGACAACGCACTACAATATCAACGACAAACATCCGCTAACCTCGACAACCCTAAACACAGCCCTACAGCCCAGTACTTCATCATCATGCTTCAAGATACAAAGTGTCATGTGTTGTGGTGTGAAGAAGTACACACACACAAAAGGTATTTGCTCTAGTATTTGCAGTCAAGCAAAGAACATCCCTATTTGTTTGTGTCTGTGAATGAAGTGCAACTAGAGATATTCGCTGACGTTAAAGGACTGTGGGAGGAAACAGCGGTTCTGTCTTGTTTGCTCAAAATGAATTTCCAGACAGCGCTCTTACACTTTCAGCACAAATCAAAAAAGGAAAAATATCTTCAAAACCAAATCAAGTCTTAAGTGCGCTCATCCAGCCAACCAGCTATATTACTTGGTCCCTGAGCTTGAAAACCCTCTGTATATACTTAATCTGAGTAAAATATTGTAATCCAATATCCTGATACATGTATTGTGTAAAAAATCAGTCTCAAAAAAGAAAACACAGAAAAGGCCAACATATTAAATTTGCCTACGACTTAAGTTGTTTGTTCACTGAAAGCATTTCCGCCTAAGAAATAGTCAAATTTTCACTCGAAAACACCAGGGCGCCTTGAACAACTGAACAAAAAAAATAAACGCAGACCATGAGAATTCCGGGCCGCTGATGATATTGTTATTTGAACTTCTTTGACTTGGTAATGTAGTCTTGAGGCTGCATATTGAATGAATGGACTCCATGGCTAGCGAGTGTCAATACAGCAAAAGTGCAGCGCTGTGTCCTTGCTGAGAGCACAAGGCAGGCAAATGAACACATAAAACACAATAGGATGGCAAATCGATAAACCTAATTACAAAATAAATCCGAAACAGCTCAGCCTTATAGATGGCAACTCGCTGTGCTGCCAGCACGATCCTCTAGAATGCTTCATACGCTTTTACTCTTAATCTTCATTCCTACTGAACAGATAACTGCAAGCTACTTAGCAAACCAGCATATTGTATGATGGATAGCATATAGCACAATAACAATACAAAACCATGAAAATGAGGAGAAGAGAGTAAATATGCTAAAACTCTGAGGAAACTGCCAGAGTTTTTCTCTGGTGTAAAGGTTTGGCTAGTTAGCATGGTCCTGCCAAGCTACTGCCATTGAGATGAATGGGAATGCTAATGAATAGCTTCTACATGTATTATGAGTCAAGCGCAGAGAAATATAATGCAATGACAAGGCAGAAAGAGCTTGAATTTTCAAACTCTACACACAGTGAGCCTAAACACATTAAATGTAGCTTCTTGAATACGGACTAGCTCGCTCACAATGCTATCTGTCAAATGAGGAAGATATACTACATTGTATATCTACATCCAATCCTATTTCCCCTTGACTTACGGTCATATATTTTTGCTAGTAAAATCCTGCATATATTAGATGTCAAGTTTTCTATGAAATGTATGTATTAGTCTTTGTGTACAATGTCATTCCTTCTGAGCAGATTTAAGGCTAACTCAAACACATTCACACACACAACACACACACACACACACACACACACACACAGACGTGGTAAAAAACATGGAGTTGCTGAGTTCCACCTCGACACGCATTTCAAGACATGATTTTATCTGACAGGCCTCTAGCTGAGGTGCACCTGAGATTCTAAACCTGAATCTACTTCTCCTTTCAGGTTTGTTCTCAGGTTGTCAGTGATTAATGATTTCGTAATCGTCATAAATTATGGGTAGAACCTTTTAAGTCTCTGTTTCAACCTCGACACATCCCTAAGCTTATGTTTAGTTAAACAGGCCGATCGATGTGACAGCTTCATAAACAAAATTAGCCATTTAATCATATCAAATGCCACCTGTAATGTGATCACATTACTAACTACACAAATGAATTATTAATGTGATCACATTTCTAACTCCACAAACTAATTACTCTTATGAACTGATTCTTTTAATTAATCATTCAAAAAGACACACACCTGGTTTAACTTAACTTGCTGAATCAATCAG